TTAAGTATAGAAGGGCTGGGTAAGGTTAAATAATACATTCTGATTGTTTCATTATTTAAATTAAAATAAAATAACCCTACACATTTACTCCCCTTTCCCCTTGTTACCTTATTACTTTGCAGGGGAGAGGGAGCAAGCTGCTGATCATCCCTGGTGATCCAGTGGGCTAGTGATGTGGTCTGTACCTCCGCAGGATACAGACCATGCCTTTCCCTTGCGAGCGCTGGAATTCTAGAGCGTTGCCGCGGGTTACCACGGCAACGCTCTGAAAATATCAGAGATCGCGAGAGGGATGCCCTGCGTGCAGCCTGGAGGCCGTTTGCTCCGTAACCAAACAGAATGGAGCTCTTCAGAGCCTCTCTCGCCGGCAATCTGCTATGCTTGAGCCGGCAGGGGAGATTTTTTGATCTTCCCTGCCTGCCTCGATCCATGTGTGGGCCACGGGGATTAGGGTGTGCCCAGCCTCACCCGGCACACCCCGTGCACACGGCTATGGAAGAATTAGGGATAACATTACATTAAAAGTACTTGGAAACAATTATAGATCACAGACTAGGAGACAGTATGCAATGCTGGTCTACTGTTACAAAACTTAGCATGGTGTTTCATGTATAAAAGGGGGGTTTGATTCACGTGATCCAAATATAATTTAGCCTCTTTACAAATCAGTGGTAAGACCCCACCTTGAATATGCCGTGCAATTTTGGCTCCGGTTTTAAAGAAGGATTTAGCAAAACTAAAGTGTAGAGGTGAGCTACAAAATTAGTAAGGGGGATGGAAAAGGCTAGAAAAACGGGATTTGTTTTCTTTAGAAAAAAATGCCTAAAATGGGATATGATAGAACTATACAAATATATACATGGTCAGGGCAAACTGCTATCTGCTAACCTGTTCATTAGTAGGACTATGCAACAGACAAGAGATCACCCAGTAAGAGCAATAAAGATGTGGAATTCTCTGCGTAAAGAGCTTGTGTTATCAGATTAGCTAGATATTTTTTTAAAAGGCTTGTTGGGTTTTTTTAAGGATATAATTATGTATGCGAACAGGGTGTTAATCAAGGAGAAATCTGATTGCTATTATGGAGTCAAGAAGGAATTTTTTTCTTTTTTGGGACGTAACTGGAAACGTCTACAATTGTTCTTGAGTTTGTTTTTTGTTTTTTTTTGCCTACTTTTGGATCAACAGCATAATGGGTGAATGGACTTTAGTCTTTTTTTCAACTTAGATTACTATTGAACTATGTAACTCGATGGAAGCGGATGTGTATGTGGCCATATATGTTTTTAAGGGAGACTGTGTGTATTTGTAAATTGTTAGTGATCTGAAAACAAACATTGTCAACTTCATAATCTTTTTTTTTTTTTGGAGGCAAAATCTGTCTCTGTGTTCTGGACTGCCCCAGACATAAATCTGTTTAAAAATCTGCCCGTAGAAATAGGATACATTGTTCTTCTCATTGACATTTTCAGTTCTAAAAATATTAATCAATAGGGTATGAAAACCCCTCAAATTACCCATATAGCTCTGCCCCTGGCCATGCTGTCTAAACTAAGCTTGCCTTCCATAGGTCATGAGAAATATTTGCAAACATGATGCAATTGATATTAGCATTTCAGGGGTTTGGCGTAAGTTCTTTAGAAAATAATTGTGCAAGAGGTCCCATCTGTTCTGTATGTTAGGAGAAGTTGCGCTCTCTGCGCTTGACATTATCAGTAAGCCTGAACCCTGTCAACCGACACCCCCTCCCCATACTGAGTCCATTATTTATTTAGAAAATATTTTATCTGAAAGAATATGTTGCGATTTCTCCCATTTTCAAACAAGCCCCCGAGATCGTGAGTCATCAGAATACTTCTACAATATAGTAACTAACGTCAGACCATGATTTAGCAAGACAACTCCCATCATACTGCTCCAACTGCTGGCTGTTTATATAAATATATATGCTGGGAATTATAATCTATTTTTAATATTGCCCAGAAACAAGAGAAAGTGTTGCTGATGGATCCCAGATGTGAGGTCACTAACCTATTTGTATGAAATATAAAACGTGTCCTTTTGAACCTTTTTATGAATTGCTCTCATACCCCTGTAACCATCCACGTAATGGACACAGACATCTAAAGCGGTTACATTCCAACTCATTTTTAATTATGTATTTAACTCTGTAGTGTAAACATTGAGTTCCTGCAAAACAGCAATATTTTCAGTTGCAGGATTAAAATGACAGGAACTTGGCACCCAGACCACGTCATTGAGATGAAGTGGTACGGGTGCCTATAGTGTCCCTTTAATATAGGCCACAGAATCATTTGACATAACTTTGTATAGTGTTGCACAATCAGACAATGAAATGGCTTAAACAAGTGTATTGTGTTGGGTCCAAACCTCTGGGAACTGAATTCCATATTATTCATTTTACACTAAAGAACCAACCTTTCTTTTAGGCGAAATCTCCTTTCCTCAAGTCTCAGTGGCTGACCTTCTGTACTCTGTACCATCCTGTAAATGAACAGGTTACAAGAGACCTGTTTGCACTTGTCCTCTATGTGTGTTTGTACAATCTTACCATATTCCCTCTGAGGCAGTTTTTTTCCCCAGAGTAATCAAACATATTTTTTACCTTATACTGTGATACGAGGTATCTGTACAGTGGGAACCAGAACAGGAACTGCAGAACAGTATAACAAACAGTATTATTGAAGGAACTAATGATAGGGTTCTCAGGTGCCAGAAGGCTAAAATGACTTAAAGAAAAAAAAGCAACAGTAACACGTATATTATCTTCGTTAGCAAATCCTTCTACTCCCTAATTATCTCCTGCAACACACTGTTATCTTACACTACACACAATGCCTTCTCTCCCACTACACCTTTACTTCCCCCCCTATTATCTCCCCCTGTACTCTCCCTGTCCATCTCTAACTAAACTCTGGCTAGTACTCATCTCCTGTTACTTGCCCTCGTATTCGTCCATCAGGAGGTCACTAAGTAAATAGATCAATAGGCCTATCAAGGAGAATATTGGCAAATCCACCGACTGGTTCTTTGCACACTTTAAGATCCAACATTCACTACTCCGCTGCTTTCTTCATATTAGAAACATAGAAACATAGAATGTGACGGCAGATAAGAACCATTCGGCCCATCTAGTCTGCCCAATTTTCTAAATACTTTCATTAGTCCCTAGTCTTATCTTATAGTTAGGATAGCCTTATGCCTATCCCACGCATGCTTAAACTCCTTTACTGTGTTAACCTCTACCACTTCAGCTGGAAGGCTATTCCATGCATCCACTACCCTCTCAGTAAAGTAATACTTCCTGATATTATTTTTAAACCTTTGTCCCTCTAATTTAAGACTATGTCCTCTTGTTGTGGTAGTTTTTCTTCTTTTAAATATAGTCTCCTCCTTTACTGTGTTGATTCCCTTTATGTATTTAAATGTTTCTATCATATCCCCCCTGTCTCGTCTTTCCTCCAAGCTATACATGTTAAGATCCTTTAACCTTTCCTGGTAAGTTTTATCCCGCAATCCATGAACCAGTTTAGTAGCCCTTCTCTGAACCCTCTCTAAGGTATCAATATCCTTCTGAAGATACGGTCTCCAGTACTGTGTACAATACTCCAAGTGAGGTCTCACCAGTGTTCTGTACAATGGCATGAGCACTTCCCTCTTTCTACTGCTAATACCTCTCCCTATACAACCAAGCATTCTGCTAGCATTTCCTGCTGCTCTATTACATTGTCTGCCTACCTTTAAGTCATCAGAAATAATCACCCCTAAATCCCTTTCCTCATATGTTGAGGTTAGGAACTCTATCAAATATTCTGTACTCTGCCCTTGGGTTTTTACGTCCAAGATGCATTATCTTGCACTTATCCACATTAAATGTCAGTTGCCACAATTCTGACCATTTTTCTAGTTTACCTAAATCATTTGTCATTTGGCTTATCCCTCCTGGAACATCAACCCTGTTACATATCTTAGTATCATCAGCAAAAAGACATACCTTACCATCAAGACCTTCTGCAATATCACTAATAAAAATATTAAAGAGAATGGGTCCAAGTACAGATCCCTGAGGTACCCCACTGGTGACAAGTCCAAGCTTCGAATATATTCCATTAACTACAACCCTCTGTTGCCTGTCACTCAGCCACTGCCTTACCCATTCAACAATATTGGAATCCAAACTTAAAGATTGCAGTTTATTGATAAGCCTTCTATGTGCAACAGTGTCAAAAGCCTTACTGAAATCTAGGTAAGCAATGTCTACTGCACCACCCTGATCTATAATTTTAGTTACCCAATCAAAAAAATCAATAAGATTTGTTTGGCATGATCTCCCTGAAGTAAACCCATGTTGTCTCTGATCTTGAAATCCATGTGTTTTTAGATGTTCATCAATCCTATCCTTTAACATGGTTTCCATCACTTTCCCCACTACTGAAGTAAGGCTTACTGGCCTATAGTTGCCCGACTCCTCCCTATTACCTTTCTTGTAAATGGGCACAACATTCGCTAACTTCCAATCTTCTGGGACTACTCCTGTTAACAATGATTGGTTAAATAAATCTGTTAATGGTTTTGCTAGTACACCACTAAGCTCTTTTAATAGCTTTGGGTGTATTCCATCAGGTCCCATTGACTTATTTGTCTTTACTTTTGACAGTTGAAATAGAACCTCTTCCTCTGTAAACTCACGTGTAATAAATGACTCATTTATCCTTTTTCTCAACTGAGGTCCCTTTCCTTCATTTTCTACTGTAAATACAGCAAATATTGTTACATTAGTGGCAAATAATCTGTGGCCTCTTTGAGGAGGCGTTAATAAAGAGTTGCATTCTGTGCAGACAGGTGTTCTAATTCCCCCCCCGAGTGTTATTTTAAGCAGTTTTTATCTCACAGACCAATTAACTATTAATTAGAGGAGTCAGCCTGTGCTTACCGCAATGTGTTTTTAGAAGCCAAAACACTTAACATTTCCATAATTACTGCAACAGCACAGGTCCTAATTAATTAGATAATTGTTAAATCTCATTTAAAACACACAGTGGCCCAATTGTTCAGATCATTGCAAGCATTCAATACAGTTGCTCAATCATTACAAATAACTTTAATAAAACCGTTTGAACAGTGTTTCATTGTGTTTAATATAAACAGATCTGCCGTTTTTAAATTTTAAAATTAAACCCAATTTTTAAAATATTGTTTTAAATAAAGCATAAGGGGGTGCCGAGGTTACATTATCGAGCCCCCTAGCAAGTTTAATAATAAACAAATAAAACAATATGCATTCCAGAAACATCATGGTTGGTTCCAAAAATAATACAAGTCAAACAGGTGAAAGTGGAGGCTTTCTGCAAAGGATCGGCAAAGAATACCACGTGATAAAAGGTTCCATAAATACGGGCCTTTTGTTGGGAATCGTGACACTGAACATAGGATAAGACACCCCTGGCACAAAAGAGTGAAACCGCCGTTTAGTTAAGCTTCCCCTTTCGCAATAATGCAAGCTCCATTCGTATAGACTCCAACCGTACGAACTGCAATCAGGGGAAGGCGCCAATCTCCCAAACGGGACCCGTACGGATGCTCCAAACTCCCGAACAATAATCCGTGAATCGTTGCTAACAGCCGAACAAATATATCTTCCAAGCGGCTTACGGTTCCAGCAATCAGTCGCTAACCGTGTGTAGTAAATCCCCCCAATAACGAGACCAAGCTCCGCATTGAGGGTAAAACAAGAACTGGTTTTACTGTGGGCTACCCGCCCGTATTTATGCAGGTCTCCCACTTGGTGGACATTCCCCTAGGGGACCAAATGGGAGACTGTAATGACAGACAGACATATGGTACTTTCAGACATACAGGCACAAAATATTCCCACAATGCATCCTGGTTTCCTCCCCTCTGCCCTGGAGATAATTGAGAAGTAATTCAATTATCTCCAGGACAGAGGCAAATCACCATTTTAAATAAAGCCTGAAAAACACATAAAAATAAGTAATTACACAACTACCGAACATATTACATTCGTGTAACACATCCCCAGATAGCCTGGATCTGAGTGCATATTCTTAGCGAATAGCGCTCAGATCCCATACGCATAGTTCAATCGCCATGGAGTCAATGTCTTTTACAGTCTTTCGGTATGCGATTGACTCCATGGGAAGGCTATCTGGGGTAAGTCCATTCGTATAATCCAAACTCCCGAACGGCCGGTGTTAGCATGCCTTGTCGACTGAGAAGGGCGGTCTGCGGGTTTCAGCGGTGTTCGGCAGAAAGAGTGTCTGTTTTTAGTTCCATAGAATCTGCGCCAAACACCACTGGTCTTTCGCATGGTTTAAAATGGCCGCCGCCTCGTGGTCGACAAACGAACGACGACCACCCTGCATTCAGTTGTAATTAAGAGGCGTCTGCGGTTAACCACAACGTTCTAATTAGGATCAAGAGGTTAACCAGCAGCACACTCCTCTTGTGGGTGGCCGTCCATTCAGTAAGTTCATTCGGTAGATAGTCAAACAGACAAATAAGGGTATACGAACAGGCAATTCCACGAAAGGAAGGCAAACTAGAAGAACCAGCAATAATAGGTATACAGATGGGTCTGTCACATAGGACTCCTAATATTAAAAAACCCCAGAGAAACTCACCCCTCTTTATATTGTCCAATTTATATAAGCAAGATAATTTAATAAAAATGGACAGCTCCAGGGACAGAGGTAGTGAGAATGCAAGAGGGAGTCAATAAACATTTGGATTTATTTCCAGAATTCCTTTATCCAAGAACACTTCCAAAAATAATGAGATAAATCGGCTTCCAACTCCCAATATTTCTGTCCTTTAGAGGAGTTTCTTCAGATTTAGTCGATGTTGTTAGTCAGGAGTTACGTAGGCATGTAACGCAATCCATCAATGCATCTCTTTATATAAAGGAACTGGAAAAAGCTTAAAGGGACACTATAGTCACCAGAAGAACTAAAGCTTAATGTAGCTGTTCTATTGACCATAGTCAGTCCCTGCAGACATTTTGGGAGAAAAGACAGTGTTTACATTACTGCTTAGTAACACCTATAGTGGCAGTCACTCATACGGCCACTAGAGGTGCTTCCTGGGTCGGCATCTCCACACTCTGCATAAAGTGCAGAACGTTCCTCATGGAAATACTTTGAATCAGAGCATCTTTATAAGGAGATGCTGATTGGCGCAGCACGGCATTAGCCTTCCAATGTTTTCCTGGCTGGACACCTAAATGGAGTTTTCCCACCTACAGTGTCAGTAATACACCCTGTATTCCTGACACTATTGTATTCCTTTCAGTAGTTTGTTTTTCGCAGTAAGAATGTCATTGGTGGAAAGTGAAACTATCCACTTGTAATTACGGCTGACTGCTATAGAATGCTCTAAAGGGTTCCAAATAATATGTAATACAAAACGTGGGTTTGCTCACCAGTCTCGGACTGAAGCTGGACTGGACATCAGGCGACCATATCTGAGGTGGGAGTACAAGTCAGCCTTTGACCTGGTGATAAATCTGCTCTAGAGAGCATCAACATTCAAAGGATAAAAAGACACTTTTCCTTTATTAGACAAAGCGTGTGAGTACGCCCAGGGTGAAGTATGTTTTGAATTATTATTCCTTAAGTCGATTCCATGGAAATTCTTTTAAAACACAATTTCCAAATAAAAGAGTCTAGTGAGTCCAGTCATTATAAAATAATAGATTATTCAAGAATATTTAGGGTCCTGGGTCGACATCTTCCCAAGGGAGTCTCTGCAGTAAAGTTAAGTCATTTATCTATTCATCATACAGTGTCAACACTTAACCAAATCTCTGTGTGCCTAGTGACAGGCAGCCTTCTTTCTGTAAAGGAACAGAGCACACATAAAAATATCGTTTTAAATTTACTGAGGCTATATAAAATCACCAATCTCAGCGAACAAATATGAGGATTCAGTTACACTATAAGGCCATATTGTGTTAAGCCCACCACTACTTCACAGTACCCCAATATCGGTGGGTCCAACACTAATTACATCACAGTACCCCAATATCGCTGGGTCCTACACTAATATCGGTGGGTCCTACACTAATTACATCACAGTACCCCAATATCGGTGGATCCAACACTAATTACATCACAGTACCCCAATATCGGTGAGTCCTACACTAATTACATCACAGTACCCCAATATTGGTGGGTCCAACACTAATTACATCACAGTACCCCAATATCGGTGGGTCCTACACTAATTACGTCACAGTACCCCAATATCGGTGGGTCCAACACTAAATACGTCACAGTACCCCAATATCGGTGGGTCCAACACCAATTACGTCACAGTACCCCAATATCGGTGGATCCAACACTAATTACATCACAGTATCCCATCGGTGGGTCCTACACTAATTACGTCATAGTACCCCAATATCGGTGGGTCTTTCACTAAATTACATCACAGTACCCCAATATTGGTGGGTCCTACACTAAATTACATCACAGTACCCCAATATCAGTGGGTCCTACACTAATTACATCACAATACCCCAATATCGGTGGGTGCTACAATAAATTACATCACTGTACCCCAATATCGGTGGGTCCAACACTAATTACATCACAGTACCCCAATATCGGTGGATCCAACACTAATTACATCACAGTACCCCAATATCAGTGGGTCCAACACTAATTGAATCGTGGAAAACAAATGAAATAGTGCGAGTGCTAAATGGACTAAAGCGTATTTTAATAATCTGTTGTAAGAGCATTGTGAATACATATAATGCAAAATTAATGTGATAAACGAAATAAAAAAATCAATCCCCATATTTGTTCGCTGAGATGGGTGGTGTTACGTAGCCTTACAAAATGTAAAACAGTATTTTTCTGTGAGCACTGTTCCTTAATCTGTATTAAGAATACATTTTGGTCACTATGGTAGCACCAATCCCACGAAATACATGTTTCGGGTGTCCCATAATTCCCTTTTTGTTGACTTCTTTCTAAAAGTCAGGGGCCCATTGGTAAAGGCACTACTACCATGCCATCATTTTGAAGTGATTTTATTGCTTGAAGATGGATAACTCTGTTCAGTGTTAAATTTGTTTTCGGACAGTGTTACACTCACCGCTTGGCCCCTATCGCATAGGTTCCAACAGTCCCAAATTTACAAGGACAGTGCCGATGGTACAGCACTGTGGGATATGTTGGAGTTTTATAAATGCCAGTAATAAATTAATAAATATTGTCCGAGCAAAAATAGGTTATTGGGACTTCACCTCCATTTTGAAGTCTACAGGGAGACTTCATAACGAGACTGGGCACATAGCGATACACCATCGTTTCATGCATGATGTGCTTCTAGCAGCAGGCTGTCAGTCAGCCTGGCCACTGTCGGTAAGGGCAGAACTGCCCTTTGACAGGGAGCTTTGCCTCTTTGATGGGCGATACCACCACCTTATAGTGCTCTGTGCAACCTGCTCTCTTCCCTGCCCACTTTGGTCCCGGGAAGGTGACCAAAGCCAATTGGCAGGTAGATAGGTTGAGAGCGGTCAGCCGACACTTTCAGCCAATCATAGCTGCCCATTGCCACTTGGACTAATACTTCCTTATTAGCCCCTGCTGTACAGAAGGGGCTTTCTTGTTGCCATGGAATCTCATTTGCGTTTCATAATATTTAAAACTTGAGCCCCAAATCGCATGGCCTATTTGCGTATAAACCTTTTATAACATCCACAGCTCATGGCCCCAAACATATTCTAGATATTCTGTATGTCTATGTGACAAAATAGATGGTTATGAATGATCTAGAACAGTGGTTTCCAACCAATTCCTCCAGGGACACCAACATTTTTGGTTTTGTCAGTATCTGGTAGTGGGAAGGTGGTGAATCTTGAGGAATGGGTGGGAACACTTGTCTAGAACGACCTCCACTGCCTGATGACGCTGTTGATTTCAGATGCGAACATTGGAATTGTCTCAGAAATCACACAAAATACAAAATACTGCAGTTCATGGAAATATTCTTTGTGTGGAAGAAGGAACTTCCTTTAATTCCAGATTTTCCCTAGTACAGAAAATGGTACATTCACACCTATTCTAAATCTAAAATACTGTCAGTTTATCACCAAAACGTATTGCTTTAATTAAGTCATCCAAATTAAAGGAAGCAATAAGCTCTGTTTGATGGGAGAGGTGATGGTGAATCTCAGATAGTACTGACAAATCATCTATCATCACAAGAGGACATTTCTCATGGATAATAGTTTCCCTTCGGTTCACAATGAGGTCACAAAAACCTAATCCAGTTAATTTACTTGAAAATGTTTTATTTTTGTTACAGGGGTAAGCTTAACCCCTTAAGGACCAAACTTCTGGAATAAAAGGGAATCATGACGTCACACGTCATGTGTCCTTAAGGGGTTAAAGGGACACTGTAGGCACCCAGACCACTTCAGCTAATTGAAGTAGTCTGGGTGCTGTGACCCTTTTGCACATCGTGCTGCAATTTAAAACATTGCAGCTCTAAGTCTGCCCTCTGTGGCTGTCTAACAGACAGTCACTGCGAGCGCTTCCGGAATCCAAACGGACCTTTGGTCGGTTATCTGACGCTGGACGTCCTCACGTACCTGAATAATGCTTTCCTATGGGGAGGTCTCCCCTTCTGGCTGATGTCGGCGGGGGAGGAGCATCGGCGGAGCCTGACCCAGCACCGAGCAACATTGGCGCTGGATTCAGGTAAGGGGATGGGGGGACCTATTAAACCTATAGTGCCAGGAAAACGGGTTTGTTTTCCTGGCACTATCGAATCCCTTAAAGTCACATTTATAGGGCTATCCACTGAAGTGAGAATTCCAATTTACGTGCTCTGAAATATTCCAAATCTTTAAAAACTCCTCTGTTTAACACACAGTTAAAAAAGACCAAGACTCCAGCTTTGATGTCATGTACACACTGTATGACATCACCAGGATGCATGCGCAGCACCACCTTCAGCAATCCCCAATCACTTAACTTATCAATGTGTGGACCAAAGGGATAAAAAGAGCAGTGTTTGTAACAGCCATTTTTGGGTATAGACCTAAATGAAATTACTCCACTCACTCAGAAATACAAGCTGGATGTCACAAATTACTGCAGGGCAGTGAAATAATTGTCTGCATGTGATTTACGTAAAAGCCAAAGCCAAATACTATCACCAACCTTTAAATAAAACATATGGTATATATACACTATACAGTGAACTGCAAACAGAAAACCAAATTTAACTCTTCCGTTCACAGTTTAGTATATGAACCAGTTCTCTAGTGCAGACGGTATTTAAAGTGACACTAAAGTCACCTAAGCAACTTTACCTTAATGAAGCAGTTTTGTTGTACAGATAATGCCCCTGGAGTCTAACTGCTCCATTATCTGCCTTTTAGGAGTTTAATCACTTTGTTTATACAGCCCTAGTCACTCCTCCCTGCATGTGACTTACACAGCCTTTCATAAAAACACTTCCTGTAAAGAGTCATCTAATGTTTACACTTTCTACATTGCACATTCTGTTTAATTTACAATTGTATTGTATACCTCCTGCTCTACCCCACAGTGTGTGATTAAAGTATAGGTCAGAGAGCAGGAGATAAAAAAAAAACAAAAACAAAAAAAAACTTTTAAAGGGACACTCCAGGCACCCAGACCACTTCTGCCCATTGGAGTGGTCTGGGTGCCAACTCCCACTACCCTGCAACTGTAATTATTGCAGTTTTTTTTTTATAAACTGCAATAATTACCTTGCAGGGTTAACTCCTCTTCCTCCTCTACTGACAGCCACTAGAGGGCACTTCCTGATTCATAGCACCTGTTTCCTGTGCTAGAGCGTCGCTGGACGTCCTCACGCTGTGTGAGGACCTCCAGCATTGATAAAATCCCCATAGGAAAGCATTGAAAGCATTTTCAATGCTTTCCTATTGAGAGGTCTAATGCGAGTGCACGGCATTGCCGCACAAGCGCATTTGGTCTCCCCCGCCGGATGACGTGGGGACAGTGAGGAGCGTGGGCGAACCAAGAAGCAGAGGCGAGGGACATCGTTGCTGCCTCTGCTAAGTCACTGAAGGGGGTTTTGACCCCTTCAGCAACCGGGGATTGGAGGTGGGAGGGAGAGGGGAGGGGACCTGCAGCGCCAGGAAAACGGATTGTTTTCCTGGCACAGGAGTGTCCCTTTAAAGATCTTATTGAAAGGGAAACCATTTTTACATGCAGTCTGTGTGAACCACAGCCAGGGGAGGTATGAACACAACTGCATAAACAGAACAAAAGTGATTCAACTCCTAAATAGCAGAGAATTGAGCAGGGAGACGTCAGGAGCGTAATCGATACACCCAAACTGCTTCATTAAGCTAAAAGGTGTTTGGGTGACTAGAATGTCCCTCTAAGTACTTTATAGAAGGACATTTAATTAGAACATTGTGCCGCCAGATCCCTAATTTCTGGTCTTTCTGACGCATTTTTAAATAATTCAGATTATATGATAATATATCAGAACTAAATCCGTTCTTAGATATACATGATAAACAAATAACGAACAGTCATACTGCTAATTGGTATTTACAATTACCCTATAATTAATATAATTATCAAATTAAAACCAGGCATCTGTACTATTTGGAGGTTTGTAGCCAAGTATAAGAAGTGGGGGAGATAGATTTTAATATTAGTGGCTCTGACAAAGAAATATCTGGCTTGGGTGAAAAGCAGAACTGGAGCAGGGGAAGAAAGGGTGTTTTTTATTTTTTTTTATTCTAAAATGAACTTTGTTAATTAGCTCTTCGCTCATGCTCTGTGTGACAGGACAAATCAATCACGGAGACAGCAGGGTTACATTATAAAATACTAGACAAGCTCATGCGTATGATTGCACTAAAAAGATGACCAGTTTAAGGCTCTGTTGAAATAAACATTGTGCTAAACATTTCATTACAATATAATTTTAATGCCACAATACAATGTCTGTTATAAAGTATTTGGAACGATTCTATTTAACCCTTTCCAGTCTCTGGTGTTCAATTTCTTTTAAATACTGCTCTGAAAGTAAGGGAGGAGAGACACCCCTAGCCTATTGTGACCCAGTATCTGCCCCAAGGAATGTTCTGGCCTGGAACCCACAACCCGTGTCTGGGAGCCCCAGTACTGGCAGCGATGGGGATTTCCAGCTTACACACCTACACGGCTGCATCACGTGTGTAAGAAGCAGCTAATGATAGATGAGCTGGCTAGGTCTGGGAAGAAATAAATAAGATACCTTTGGTTTAGGAGCTGGAAGCTCTTCTTCATGGCCCCCCTGGGCATGCATGGCTTCCTATATGCCAGTACTCCGCACAAATGAGGATTTACATTACAATTACTTCCTGACAGTTACCACAAAACAGATGCTTAAAGCACATAAGTGGCATCTATCATGGTATAACAGAGAAAATGGCTGGCTAAGGTGGATAGGTCTAACAACAAACTCCTGTACTAAGTATCCGTGACATCAAGCAGCCTATTACCATTACAGAAAGCCCAGTCCTATTTTTCTCTATTATTTTAATAAAAAGGGGCATTCAAAATGATTCCATAATACCATTGATATGCCAACCACAGAAAGTTATAACAAAATCTACAAGTAATTTTCATGACAAGATTTAAAGAAAACAAATACAACAAATATGAAACAAACATACAAAGAAAAAGACAAACCCTCCCTCCCTCCCCCGTGAACCTGTGAGGTACAATCACTGCCATCACCCTGGCCCCCACCATGAGCAATGGCATTTTTATGGCAGAATTGCAGACAACATTAAAAAAATCTGAACGTCCACCCTTTCTCGCAGAGAAGAGGGCCTCATCGCCAATGGGTCTGCAGCATGATGCAAAGAAGATAAATACAGCAGAAAAGAAAATCAAATGTTCTTAAATTTTGGAAACAGCACAAACATGGCACTGGTCTTCCCAAAGTTTATTAGGTTTACTCAAGCACTGATATTTGCCCGGAGCATCTTCAATCAAAGCTGACATCATAGCGCTTATCATAGGAATAAAAAGTCATCATCCTCGTCATCAGACTCTGAAGGGATATCATCAAAATCCCCTTCAAACTCATCGTCCAACTCATCACTGCTGGAGAAAGGGTCCAAGCTGTTGCTGTCGCTGTCTGTTAAGATGGGGATCACCTCCTTCATGGGATTCAGCGCTGCAACACACACACAAAAATATCTAATTTAACAAGCGCATCAGTGAGGAAACAATCCGAAGACGGGAGGACAACATTAATCTACGGCATTCTAACTCATAACATCGAAAATAAGCAGAAATGGACATTCTGGGCGATATCAAATTTATTTAAAAGACAATTGTCATCAAATCTTCTCTTCACGTTAAAAAAAAAAAAAAAAAGTTTATTATATTTAATTAGACTTCATGAAATTTTTAAATGATGCATACTGATTTTTTTTGAGAAAATGCTACTTTTAAATCTGGCTGAGCGAACATGTTGGGTCAGACTGTACCATCATTTGTCCAAGTACTGCTCAACCTAACTTGCTGCTGCTGCTGCTGTGATTGAACTGTAGCTGCAGCAAGTAAGGTTTTGGCAGCATACACATACCCCTTATTTTCCTGTTCAACTCTCTTTAGTAAGAAAATGCCCTACACAGCTTTCTACAGTATAATGCCAGCCTCTTAGCCATGCCTCCCCTTATCACAAAATGCTCCCATTGGAAGGTACGCAGGGTAGCTGCTGAATCGACTCTGCCATTTACAGCCAATCGCGGTTCTCTTATTGTTTGTATAGTGGTGCTACGTGGATAAATTAAATAAGACAGTGACTAGCTATGTGGGTTGCAAGGCTGCCTTTCTGGTTTAACTGGATAGTTGGGTCTATAAGATTCACTTAGCTGAAGGTTGAAAAGGAGAATAATGAAAGATTTCACATTGTTTGGTTTGTGGCCCATTAAGGAGCACTGCGCGACAGGAATCAAGTTCAGATTACGGAGGCAGGTTACATTGTTTGTATAAAATATTACTATGTTCATACTGTGAGGTTCGTTTAGAAATTAATGTTCGTATGCATTGTATTTTTGGACTTCAACAATCCCAATAGAACCATTAAAACCCATCTCTTTAGGAACGCTTATGGCCTCCAAGACTAACCTCTATCTCACATACCTGTCTCTTGCTCTCTCCTAAAGGGCAGCCCACCTTATTTGATTGCAAATTCCTGTCCTACTGTGCTTTACACCCCACCTCCTATAGAATGTAAGCTCGTTTGAGCAGGGTCCTCTTCAACCTATTGTTCCTGTAAGTTTATTTGTAATTGTCCTATTTATAGTTAAATCCCCTCTCATAATATTGTAAAGCGCTACGGAATCTGTTGGCGCTATATAAATGGCAATAATAATAATAATAATAATAGGAAAGTAATGGAACGTGCTAACAGATGGTTCCTGTAGATGTGTTTATATGCCGGTTTCCATTCCTTACATACATTGAATAGAACTGAAAGCTCTGCATGTTGTTTGGCTTTTGTTTAATTTCTTTGTTTAAACATTGACTTGTTGTCCCAGTACCAGAGCGAACGCTGAACTTATTAAACAACTAGAACTATAGTTGCAAAGATTATAGATTTCTATATAAGTAAAATAGTGTCCCATTACCACAAGTTCCAGAAGACTGTTAAATGTTTGATTCAAGGGTGTTTATAGGTTTTAAAGCGAGCTGGCAGTAAAATACTGAATTCAACATATTGTATTCATTGAACTATGCATGTTC